TCTACCCCTACTCTAAGTATATTCAATCCAAATAAATTACAAAATTATATATTGTTTCATTAGAATACATTTATTAAATAAGAAACGAAACAAAATACCAAAAATAAATTGGCTTTTGTTGTTTCGGGGTGCTGATAGATGTTTCTAAAACTGAGGATAAAGTAACAATGAAATTCATTAAATTCTAAATACAATTTTGTTTATAAACTAAAAATACGTACAGAAAAACTTATAACATTTATATCAATTCAACAGAACAACAATTTATTTCAAGTACGCAATAAATAAAATAACATAATATTAGAGTTTCAATTTAGGCTTAAACTAAAAACCTTCATAAAAAACTATTCCATTTTGAAGTAGTGAAGATATTTTAAACAAAATGCATTTTATCATTGTTATTGGTTTAGCCATGAGTGTGGCGATTTTTCGGGGTGGTGGCTTTGAAACCGATTATTTGATTGACATGTTATTTTTATTGTGGTATATATTTTAAGGTACTATTTTTATTTTTATGTGCTTTTATGGTTGCATGTACAAATATTTTTTTTTATTCCCTAATTATTATTATTTTTTTTAGTATTTCATTGATTATGGTTACTATTGGAATTGAGGTTTTGAGGTGGAGGTCTTAAATTAACTTTGTGATGGTGATAAATAGTATTTCTCCTACATATAGAGAAGTATACTTAAATTAAACTTTACTTCAATTAAAAAAAGAACCATATTTATAAAATAACCTAAACTACTGAAGTTTCTAAGTTACAAAGAGAGCGGGGTAAATTCTTCAGTGAAATTTGCTATTCCTTCCTTTCATATGGTATTCGGCCTTTCTCCTCAAGCTCTTCTTTGTCTTCTAATCTATGTAGGTGTATACTCATCATTACAAATCTAAATTCATCCTTAATAGTCCATCTTCTCTCTCAAGCACTCGTTCCTAAAGATCGCCAGCATCGGCGTCTGATGCCTCTGAAGAACTATCCGATGAATGTTTCGATTTCTTATTCTTTGGTGGCGCTGTATCATCGTCCTCATCCTCGGAACTGCTTGATGAACTATCCGAACTGGAACTACCCGAAGCTCCAGTTTCACTTGAACTATCCGATTCACTATCGGACGAAGAACTGGAATCACTTGATGACCCCGAACTAGATGAGCCAGAGCCATCTTCATCATCGGACGATGAATCGGATTCACTGTCCGAACTAGAGGACGAATCACTGGATGAACTTGATGAAGATTTACGACGCTTGTGTTTATCTTTCTTTTTGCCCGCACTTGTGGCCACCTCCCCGGTCGTTGATACCGATCCATTCGCCTGTCCCTCGGCAGTTTTTTCATGCAATTTCTTTTTCAATTGCTTCGTCCGTGATGTGCGATGAACATATTTACGTTTCTCCTTACATTTTTGACAACGCACTCCATTCGGAAATGCTGCAGCTAACTTGGCATTTCTGAAATCAAAAAAGAAACGCGTCTCAATTATTTATTTGTTTTGGTGTTTTGCACATGCTTTTTGTTTGAAATACTTACCTCTTCTTGATGGAGAGTTTTCTGGCCGCCAACCCCACCAGCGTCATAATCAATAATCTGCGAAAACGTCTGTGGGAGTAAATTTTGCCGGCTTTTCAATTGGCTACTGTGTTGTGAACGCGGTAATGCTTCAGACTTCCAGCTGGAAGATATTTGGATATTTCTATGTATTGCGTTGTTGTCATCAATTTGATGAATTTCGTTTTTCGCAAACGTTTTTCCAAATATTTTTTCACCAAAGCAGATACAACGTAGTCTGAAGAAAAATTGAAAAACGTTCCACCTGCTAAAGAATGGTAGAAGAAGACAAATGGCCGATAAAGATAAACCCAAAATGGTATAACCCGAAAGTTTACGAATGATGTGGGAGGGAAACTAAATGGAAACATAGGGATAAGTAAATCGACTTTCGACTAATCGATTAATCGAATTTCTGTATTTGAATTGCCTGCTCCATGGCCAGTTGGCTATCTTCGTCATTACGAAAACGTAAACAAAGTCGAAATTTTTGACATTAGGCTTGAGAAAAAACAGCTGTTTCCGATTTCGACTTGTGATCTCTGAAGAAACCGCAAAGCCAAATTTTTCATCATTAATACTTGGTTCATTACCAAAAAGCATACATTTCCTAAAAATTGCATATTCTACAACTTTATTTCTTCTGATGACAACGTTTCATATAAAAAAATTAGTTGATTTTGCATTAGTCAGTAAAAGTAAAAAATGATTTTGAGCTGGTTTGACAAAGTCAAAAGATCGAAAAGCAGACTTCTTTTCTCGACTACGTATCGTTAACATGTACACAAAAAACGATGTTAACCGAGCATGTATACCACATGTTTGACGTGTGTGACCCACATCGTTACAGCCGATAGATTCATATTTGATCTTCGAATACGGTAACTGAGACCTGATTTTCCAGCTGAGGGAAATTACTCTGGAGATCAGCAATTAATCTGCTGATCACGGGACATAAGTAGAATAAATGGATATAGCTTCTGAAATGTTGCAACATGACAATCGGTACGATTAAACTGTGGGCAACCGTAAAATCGCTTTCGGACCTTAGAAAAGATAAAGATAATCCAGAAAAACTGCATGAGTCGGGAGTCAAATACATGATTATAGTCCTCAATTTGTCTATAGACACCCATATCATTCCCACAAAGTCGACTTTTCTCTTCATTAATACTGGGTTATTGTCAAAAAGCATAAATTTCCTAAAAATTACATATTCCAGAACCTTATTTGGTCTGATGGCAATATTTCATATTAAAACATTTTTTAGTCTATAAAAGTAAAAAATCGATTTTGAGCAGGTTTGACAAAATCAAAACGTAAACGTTACGTATAACCTGCGCCTTGTTTACAGAAACGTTTCGGATACTATACACAAAAAATGTTTTTTATATTTAGTAAGGAGATAAAATGGCACAAGTTCACCAGTTAAATTCGGAAAGGACCTATCGGAGCCCTTTAATACAGAACGAGTATTCAGACAAGATGACAGTTTGTCGTGTGATCTTTTTAACATTCTGCTGGAGAAGGCCATACGAGAGGCAAAGGTGAACAACACTCTGTACACCAAACAACACATGTTACTCGCCTACGCCGATGGCATCAATATAATGGGTCGAACATTGCAAGCGGTAACAGGAACCTTTGGACAAATTGTGAAGGAGTCTGCCAAAGTGGGTCTGCCAGTAAATGACGAGAATACCATGTTGATGGTATCAACGCGCAAGACGTCCAGTAGACTTGGACCAACTGTGGAACTTGACAATTACAGCTTCAAGGTAGACAAAGACTTTATGTACCTTGGTACCGCCATAAATAAAACCAGAGCTCCGAAATGCTCGCTCGAATTCGAGTAAGAAAAAGTTAAACGAGTATACTCTATTTTTCTCTTCCACTCAAATAAGAGCGCAAGTGCTTTGCTCGTATTCGAGTGGGAGTGAAATTCTCTCGAAATCGAGGAGATTCCACTCTTGTCGAGTACTCTTTTATTATTATTATTAATTTATTTTTTTGATACCGTTGTTCCGTTTGATTTTGTTTGTGTTCTTTGTTTGTTTTGTGATGTTTGGTTTGTAACTTGTCACATGTGTAATGATGTATATGATCTTTCTCCCCATATCACACAAAAGATCAACTACATTAACAGTTTGCTACTACGCACATACAAACAACCAAAAAATCAAATTTAATTGTCCACTAATAATTTCACTCTTAGAGTGAACTCTTACTCTATTTCGAACGTTTTAAATCTCACTCTTTTTCTTCAATAAGGAGTACTCGCGAGCACTCCCAAACAAAATAAAAGAGTGAAGAGTATACTCCTTAAAAACTCGTACTCCCACTCGAGAGTATTTTTCACTCGCGAGTAAAATCGAGCAAATCGGAGCTCTGAATAAAACTAATTACACCAGTTTTGAAATCCGGAGAAGGATACACTTTAGAAAAAACGCCACCTCACACCATACCAAACTCACACTCTACAAGACGGTGATCCTATCCGTTCTGTTATATGGATCAGAATTATTGGTTCTTGCGCAGGCTGATGATCTTTTACATCACCAGGCCAATCGGAGAGTTCGCCCATATTCGCTGCAGAAAATTTCTTTAGTAGTAAGGACAGTGGTCGAATACCCGAAATGAGACCTGATATTTCAGCAGCGACAGTAGGCATGATGAGCTCCGATCTCAGACTCAGATCTCAATTACTCTGGAGATCAGCACATTTAAGTGGAATAAATGGTTATAACTTCTGAAAGGTTGCAACATTGTAACCGGTATGATTGAACTGTGAGCGACCGTAATAAGTCGCTCTCGGACCCAGGAATGGCTAATGATAAAACATCTGTGGCCTATAATCCAGAAAAACACTGCAGGAGCCGGGAGTAAAACGGGCTATTACAGTTCTCAATTTGTCATTTCCAAAGTTTGGCTTCCGCCAACGAATCCAGTTAAGGATACCAGGAAATGTTGGTCGGCATTGGCGAAAACACTAGGTTGACATTTTCAGCCTAACTATTATGTGCATAGTTCTAGCACCTAGTTTGCTGATGAGTCTATTTCCTTTTCTCCTTTTACCATGGCATATTCCCCATATATATTTCCTGAGCGATTTTAGGTATTTCAAATGTCCATCACATGGTGGAGGTTACAAAAAGTTCGGACCTGCGTTACTTTTTGTAATATTTAACAATTTATAATATGAAAATATTTAAATGTGTAACGTTTTAGTGCGTGGAATTCTTCCCAAGGTTTACTGAACACAGCTACATTTAACAACAGCTGATCAGATGCGCTGCCAATGTGGAACGTTTTTCAATAATTCTGCAGTTGGTGAAAAAAAAAATCAAAATCAAGTTTTGACAAAACAAACAGATTGTAAAAAAGCTGATAAATAATTAAAATAAATATAATAAAAACATAGTATTAATTGCCCGAACAATAACACAAACATGTTCTGCTGCCTAAGATCCTGTTTAAATGGTAGTATACATCAGACAAACAAAACCGTGGTGAATCGTGTGAAAGAACCAGAGATTCATTTAGATGTTGCAAATGCTGGTAAGAAAAAATAGCAGGAAAAATATTCCTAAATTACACATTTTTACAAGGTAAATATCTTTCCATAGGTACTGAAGTAATATTACTATCCAATTATCTACGCATTACGGGTACTGGTGGAGCATTGGGCACAGCACCATTGGTCCAATCAAAATCCTATTTCGAAGTGAAAATTCAACAAAAAGGTATTTGGTCAATCGGTTTGGCTACACGACAAGCAGATTTGGATAAAAAATATGGTGGTTTGGATAAGGAAAGTTGGTGTCTGTGTTCGGATAATGTTACTCGTCACAATGGCGAAGAATATGGACCCGTGGTGGCGACAACAAATGAACCAACAAAAACCAATGGTGATGTTATTATAAATGGTACCACAGTTCCAGGCCTAATCGGTATTGAAGATATAAATGAAGATTTACTATTGACAACGGGTCGTAGTGATGGTGGTGGGGTAGAGGTGAAAAATCCAAATCAGGAAAATAATAGCACAGCGACGACGAATCAAGAGAGGACGCAACAAAATCCATTTCCCGATGAAGGTGATATTGTTGGTGTTTCATTCGATCACATTGAATTGAATTTCTATTTCAATGGCAAGAAGTTGGATGTGCCATTTCAGAATGTTAAAGCCAGTACTGTGTTTCCGGTTATATATGGTAAGTGTAAAGAATAAGATCAAGTGTATTTTACATTTGTAATTTGCATTACCTTGAAATATTCTACAGAGATTGCAAAAAATAAAATTCTGATCAGAATATCTACATAGACATATTCTGATCAAGAATGTCCTTATGTCTGTTGAAATCAACATAGGACTCGCAATATTTTAAGACCAGACGGTAGTAATAGTATGTGACGGTCGTAATCCCCATTCTTACATATGGATGCCTTGTATGGTGGCAGGGGGTCAACAAAAATATACTGCTGAATAAAATGAACTCAGTACAGCGATCGGCTTCGATCCTGATTACCGGAGCGCTAGTATCCTCAACATGACGCCAGGTTGTGACTTCTTGAGGAGGAGTACTTACATTAGTGATTATGTTCCCTCTCATAGAGATTTTAACGACATCAGAGTAGAGTTTCTCAGTAGGTAATCCTGGACTAGTGGCTCCTTGCCTCTGCAAGGTCTGACATTTTTTACAGAAGGGTCAAAGATGCAGGGAGTTAGAAATCTACAACTCATATAAACTTAACCATCTTTGTAGCGTTTTTCAAGCAGAAATCCTTGCAATCACGAAAGCGGCCGAGATAGTCAAAAAACTTACTGCCGATAAATCGGTGACTATATATGTCCACAGTCAGGCGGCCTTCAAGGCTTCAAAGTCGTGCACTATAAACTCAAAAGCAGTTATTTATTGCTGCTCTGCATAATATACGACGGATAGTTACTTTATTTTGGGTTTCAGGTCATAGCGACATAGAATAGAATGAGATAGCCGACGAGCTTGCTCGAGGAGGTTCACAGTCGTCCAACCTTCCGATTGAGAGATCTGTGCAACCGCCCATTGGCTATTTCATTGGCAAAATCCGCTTGATCTACGGCGAGGTAGTTGGCAACAGATGGTCAAGAGAACCTGGCTGCAGAATCTCGAAAGCTATCTGGCCTTAATTCTCTCGCCGAAGAACTTCTTCGCTATTGCCACATAATAAGAGAGAGATTAAAATCATTGTGGGGATCATAACAGGTCACAGCAAGATTAGATCCCTCACTTCGAAATGGGACTCCAACAGAGAGGATTACTGTCGTCTATGTGAGGACGAAGAAGAGCTAGAAATAATTGAACATATCATCTGTAGATGTCCATCGCTGAGTGGCAGAAGTTTGGAAGATATGAAATTGACAACCAAAATAGACCCCAATCAGATCCTAGGCTTTGCCAATAACTTGACATTGCTAAATTAACCACCTTCTAGGCTCTCAATAGACATCTGCATGAATGCACAAAAACACCACCCATGAGTCACTCACACAAAGTAATGGCTTCTATTCTATAAATTTGTTTGAAATGAAGTCCAATGAGTGAGGGTACAACAAATATGAATTGCTTCAGGTATGAGAGTTTCGAATTTGTTGTGTATTCGTTTGATTCATACAATCCACGTTTCAGACTCGACGAACCGGTATTTATTGTGTATGTTTACTTCGGTATGAATGTATGTTGTAACACACAAAGTTTGAACAAATGCGGCAAGTTCGTAAACGAACATGTTTTACACAATGAGTGCGTCGAATTATACAGTAGTATTCGAATTACCCGAATTAATTGACGAGATATTTTGGTTTTTACACCAACCACAAAAGTATGAAGGGTATGTTATGTTATGTTTTTTTTTTGTAACTCAACGAAATAGTCATTTCCGCCCATATAAAGTATATATATTCTTAATAAGGACAAAATTTATGAATATCTAGTAATGTATCCACTATATAGCAGAACTTTTCTTTTTTCAATATTTAGATGTTTTTAAACGCACTTTTTTTAAATTCGTTTTTATTTGGGTTCGAATTGGATACCCCATAGTGTGGGGGATATTCAGTACTACAACTTGTCAGTTCATAACCTATAATATGTTAAGACTTCTGTTGTAATATTACTACCTTCGGGGGTGTCGAGATACAAAACTAAACCGTTACGTTCCAAAATGGCCTTTATCAGTCCACATTAAGTATATCCTCCCGAGAAGTAATCAATATTGGCCCACTAATATGCAAAGCCAATTTTTTATACCATTCACCACACTGTGGTACAGGGTATTATGTCTTTGTGCATATATTTGTAACAGGCAAAAGGAAACTAGATAGACACATGGTTCCTTTTTAGTATATGCATAGAATCACTTTCTAAGTCGATTTATGCATGCCCGTCCGTCTGTCCATGTCAAATTGTAAACAAAGTACAGGTCACATGTATGATCCGAATTGGATGAAATTTGGCATAGGTCACTAATTTGGGCCAAGGACGAACTCTATTAAAATCGGTCTAGAATGATGTGTATTAAGTTTCGTGAAAATCGGTTCAGATTCAGATATAGCTGGAATCATGATAGATCACGCAATATTTAAGATAAACCATTGAACTTTTGAACATTGTAGTAAAATCCTAGGATGTTTGGAATTGAAAATGCGATATATCGATCAACGTTTTTATAGCAGCCATGTAACGGTACTCCTCATCGCTCAGTATTTTTGGGGAGTTTGGGCACGTTTTTAAACGAATTTGTTACTTTCTGTTGCCATTGGGTAGTAAATCTCCCTACCAAAAATCTTCAATATCGGTCCACTTTTTTAGATAGCGCCTAAATAACGGTACCCTCATTATTCGGTATTTTGGGGAGTTTGTGCATGTTGTTTAACCGAATTGACTGTAATTTGGTACTTTGAGTTTCCAATGGGTAACAAATCGCTCTACTAAAACATATCAATATCGGTCCGCAGTTATTTTAAATGTCCAACTCATGGTGGAGGGTGTAAAAAGTTCGGCCTGACCCAACTTAAATATAACAATATTGTTTTATCTATATTTTATAAATATTCAAAATTTTTCTCCGTATAAACTTTACTTTCAGTTGGTAATGGCGCAATTTTGGACATAATATTGGATAATTTCCATTATCCACCACCAAATGGCTTTGAACGGATAATGTTGGAACAATCTCTATTATAAAATTCAGCATTTGCCCGGTCGCGTTCGTATTTCTTTATTACTTGGCAGGCAATGTGAATAATTTTTAAGTGAAAAAAAACAAATGGACAAACTTTATTCTTAACAATGTGTATTGATCTATAAAATTCTAATCTTGTCTTATAGTATTTAATATTATATTTTTTAATAATTTCTTATTAATTACGATATTCACAAATATATTAATCTCTCGTCATGTGTTGTAGAGATTCTGACATTCCCAAAATAATTCATACATTTAATTCACACATTCCAATAACGTTTATGACCCCTATTGCAGTTATGCTGTTATTTATAATTAATTTACAATTATCCTTTGGTACCTATATAATTACATTTCCTACAATTTCACTAGATTTCATACTGCTACCGAAATGTTTAACCTCTTATATTAACCATTTTGTAAAAGCAATAGGACTGCTACAACAACAACCTCCTATATTTATTGAAACTTCTTTGAGATCCAATGCTTTCACAATCTCTTAATATTCTTATTTTTCAACCAGTCCACAATGAAATTAAAATTTGCATTTTTATCATAATTGAATTTTTCAATTTTCATATTTATATTTTTACTATATTAAAATATTAAAACGCTATATGAACAAATATTATTCACATAAAATGTAAAATAGTGTATTTAGAAATGATCCTAAATATTATTGTAAATTATAAACATTTGCTTCAAAGTTTCTTTTTATTTTTATATACAAAAGTTAACAGTTAAAAATAAAAGTTTAAAAAATATTAAATTCATAATAATTTAAAAAAGCTGTACTTACTGAAAAGTTTTATAATTATTTTCTAATAATTTATTCCATTCCATTAATTTTGATCTCCTTTCGACATCTTTTATTATATTATTAAACATATTTATTTTATGTTTGTATAAAAAATCAGTAAATTTTATTATTAAACAAAGCTTTTGTAATTATATACTTATAAATATATATGTCCTTAGTATGTATACCTTACTCGCAATGACTATAAATAAATATATATTATTAATAATAAACAGCAGTCTTTTTTAACTTTTTGAGATTGGATACGCTATACAATAATTTTTCGGATGAGTTCAATAAAAAGACTTAATACTTTTTAAAGGATCGCCTACTTTGTTAAGAGTATATTCTTTGAGTGATTATCTCAGCTAAAATCGTAAATTTTTGTATTACGCCACGAAATGTTGGTAATAGACCCATCTGAATAGCTGAATCGATGTAACTGCCTATTATTCAAAATTCATGTTGCAATTATAGGCTGTTTTTGTCAAAGAGGACAACTATTGGTAAAGATTCAACCTGAGAGCCATAATTATGATCAGAACTTCACGAAAAAAGGGATTCGCACAACGATAGGTTAGTAGCAATGGTGGATAAGATAACACTGGTAAGACGGAAAAGTTGCCAGTGTATAAAATAGACTTAGTTTATCAATTATCTAATATCGGTTCTAATCACGTAAGAGGACGGATATGAGAGATATGTTGACATTTTCAAAGTGGTCTACTAATTCTAATCAAGTTTAATATTACCATTACCCCAATTTTGGCCAGGTTTGGGATTTAGTTCTTCAGAAAATAAAAGTTCAGTGGTACTTGTTTAGGATATCATAAGTTGGTCCCGCTCGATTATTCTGCACAGATTGCCTATTTATTGATAGAGTATATGAATGCGAATTTTGTAAATAAAATTTTTTTAAATTTAATAATGCGGCCATACGTCCTCTTTTTTAGAGGACAATCATCTATTTTAACTGGCTGTCATCTATTCGATCTATTCGCTTCGATCTAAAAATTTTAGCCCAGTCGTACCTTAAACCTAAATATACGTTTTAAACACATACAATTTCTTTAATTAAAAATATATGTTTCTTTTTGTCATCTATTTTCATTTTCAAAATCTGGTCGCCTTAGATTTAAGCGTTTAGGAAAATTATTTAATGGCATAAAGTGCATTACCACATAATTCTTCTCCGTCCATATCCTCTTGAGAATTCATATATCGGTCACAACTATTACCGATGATCTTAATAAAGATATCTACAAAGTATACCACATTACTCTGCTAAAAATTCTTCTCCGTCCATATCATCTTGAGAATTCATATTGTCATCATCCTCATCTTCTTCCTCCTCCTCTTCTTCTTCGCTACTTGCCAATGCTTTTCGTTTCATTGGCACCAGCAATGATTCCAAATCTAATAATTGTTTATTGATACTTTCGTCGATTGCAACCTCCGTGGTTACCGCTGAATTTGGTAAAGTTGACAATATAGTCGATGGTGTGTTAATTTCACTCACTGCAATGGCTTGAGCCGATGTTGACGGCATTGGGTGCTCCTCATTTTCGCGTGAATTTGTATATAGTTCAATTAAATTTGATTTCAGTTGTAACTCTTCGACCTAAAAATAAAGATATTATATGAGATACATAGTTGTTTCCGCAAATGATTTGGCTTAGGTCAAGTTTAAGGCCTGGTTGTGGATGGTTTCCTGATTACAAGGTGTACTTTTTGGTAGCACATACATTCAGAGCCTGAAGTATGGAATTCCATAAAAAACACATATGTGCTAAATTTACATGAACCACGTCCAGGACCTTAAGCATGACTTGTTCCATTGATTTTCACCTTCAGGGTATTGATTGATTCATTTATATTTCCCAATAATTCCTCCAGTTCTTTTTCTATGGTCACCAATTGTACTTGCTCCTTTTGTATAGCTTGAGTCTTTAATTTGTGTGCTCTTCTCATGGTAATGTCTTATAGATATTAATCTTATTAATATATTAAAAAAATGTATAAAAATAAAAATTTCGTTTAACTTATCTAGCAAAAGAAACCAAAACAATATTCGTTGCATTGAACAGCTGATATTTGCCGGTCCATTATACATGGTGAGTCAACAATTAAAGACATCTTATTGTGAATTGCCCTGTGTGCGATACAAAATGCCATAGTTGGGCAGACGTGCACACCAGCGTTGATGCGTTCTCTTAACATTTTTTGATGTTACAACAAAAATAAAACTTAATGAAAAATTTTCCACAATTTTTTTCATGAATTTATTCTTTGAGCTTCCTGGTATTAAATTAAATAAATTCCGCAGAATAATTCATGTTTTTATTTTCCCTTAAAAATTTTTAAGAGAAATTTTGCCTACCATTGCAATGTGTCGTATAATTAAGTTTTTTAAGAGTTGTTAAAATTTATAAACGTTACAATTAGTTTCCAGGTCTGAGATATAGGGAATTATTTAAGAGCTAGTAACTCTAATTTGTGTGATCCCAAAAATTGGTAACGCTATGAAATATTGGCATAAGATTCAACTTTTAGTATGTCGATAGTCATATCTTGATTAATATAGTCGATCTAGCTATTACAATTTATAATAAAATTTCGGACCGCAGTTATTGGCCAACCGTGACGCAGGCTCCGTTCTGGCCAAATATGACGCTTCTACTTTTTAGTAATCATCGGGAGAGGGATCAATGACCCAAAAACTATATTTTTTTCTCTGTTTTCTGCTCGCTCGAGAACAGAATTATGATTGGCATAGGGATCTGGTCAATATTTATGTTACAAATTACACTATTCGCAGATGATACGTATATATTTACTCTGTAAAGATGTGTAGTCACTAATGTGGCTGCAACACTCTGAGACCGTCCATTCCGTTTTGATCATTCATGAATGATATGGCGAGATCTGTAGGGAGAACGGGGGGAAAATATAAGAAGCTAACAAGAAATATAAGGAGGTAGATGGGAAATAGTTTCAATGGCTATAGAAATTGGACAGAAAACATATTACGTGCTAAGGTTGCACTTTCCCAACCATTTTATATTTCTAATGATGCTGTAGATTAAAGCAGTTTCCATAGAAGCTTAGTGAGCACGGTGGAAAGTGAGCACCCACTAGTCTGTGACATTGCACCTAGGTTCGTTGTGCCAGAGTTCATTGGCTCCTTCGTCGAAAAACGCCTCAAAGTTCCAAAAAATGACAGACAGATAGGTGGCTTTTTCATTACCCATGATGTCACGGTGTCCTGGTACCCAACACAGCCGATAGCTGTATAGTAATGACTGCTCTACACTCGAGACGACTTCAGATTTGATATTGCAAAACATGATGGCTTCCAAATAGCGAAGATTTCAGCTTGGAAAACTCTTGTAGGTAAGCCCCTATACCTTCTTCCACCTTGGATCCGTCTGTCCAGAGGAGGGTTGCTACGGTTCCAGTCGTCTCTACTAGGGATAACGACATCTACATCTGCCCTCTCTTCTATGCCTTGATTAAAATAGTTTTCCTCAAGGTTTTCAAAATAGTGGTTTACAACTGTAATTGCATCTTGAATTGAATTTTGTTTGCCTTCTTTGGGGCACCTCCTCCAGCTTCAGTCCATTATTTGGATTGTTCTTTTGTTTCTGTAGTTATGAAACGACGCTTAAAATCCATTTTATTTCGTTAAAACAATCCAAAGAAGATTGAAAAATTTTCGTTTTTATGCATTTTTGATCGACTGTTAAAAAAATGCGGCACCCATCTGGCAGAAAGCTTTTTCATCAGTAGTTCTTCATGCGTAATGAAATGGACTCGATCATTTGAGATGTCCATATTAGCTGTTTTTGGACGTCAACCATGTAGTCCATCTTCAATGCTTGTACGACCACGTTTAAATTCAGTAACCCAATTTTTACAGTTGAATATCAAGCATCACTTTAACATATCAAATTCACCATATCATTATGAATTTCTTGTCCCGATAAACCTTTTTTATGTAAATATTTAATTTCCATTGTAAAAAATTGCACCTGTTTCTATATGAAGAAGTTGCCGAAACAAAATTTTACATGTTTTCATAACAGAGATGGAAGTTTCCAAAACACTTAACTTTTTCTGTTTATACCGCACTTTTTGTGCTAGGCTAATAAGTATCCGAACTGTCCTCATAAGATGGAAGGCAGAGAAGTTAAAAAAAAACTTCTTG